CCCCCCCTCCAGCCAGTGCCGGACTCCGGCCGCGTCCAGCTGAGCCAGGACGTGGCGAGCGGTCAAGCGGAGAGCGCGGAGGCAGCAGGGAGGCGTCCAGCGGCCGGCCAGCAGGTAGGAAGGGGTTTGGGAGCGGATGGTGCCGAAACAACGCGGGGTGGATTTGGTGCAGCCGTGCCAGCGTTGGCGGCCGTCCGGCAGAACCTCGAGTTTGAGGCCGAATCGATCCAGGAGGTCCCGGTGTTGTTTTTCCAGGGAGGTTTGGGTTTTCCAGAGGGAGTGAGGGGAGGGAGGGGGCAGAGAGGCGGAGGGGAAAGCGTCCGGCAGCAGGAGGAAGCGCCAGCCGCGGAGGGAGGCCTGGAGGGACAGGGAAGTGACCACAGGACGGGTCAGCGGGAAGGGCAGGGAGAAGAGGTCGCGGGTGCGGAGGAGGAGAACGAGCGGGGCTCCGTCCAGGGCGCCGCAGAGGGCACCGTGGTGGGCAGTCTGCTGGTCAGTCCGCTGGTCAGTCCGCTGGTCATTCCTCTGGTCATTCCTGTGGTCAGTCCTCTGGTCAGTCCTGTGGTCATTCCTCTGGTCAGTCCTCTGGTCATTCCTGTGGTCATTCCTCTGGTCAGTCCTCTGGTCATTCTGGTGGTCAGTCCGCTGGTCATTCCTCTGATCATTCCTGTGGTCATTCCTCTGGTCATTCTGGTGGTCAGTCCTCTGGTCATTCCTCTGGTCATTCTGGTGGTCATTCTGGTGCTCATTCCTGTGGTCATTCCTGTGGTCACTCCATTGTTCATCCCTCTGGTCATTCCTGTGGTCATTCCACTGGTTGTTCCGATGGTCATTCTGGTGGTCATTCTGATGGTCATTCCCTTGTTCATACCCGTGGTCATTCCCGTGGTCATTCCCTTGTTCATTCCCGTGGTCACTCCATTGTTCACCCCTGTGGTCACTCCACTGGTCATTCCATTGTTCATTCCCGTGGTCACTCCACTGGTCATTCCATTGTTCATTCCCATGGTCATTCCTCTGATAATTCCATTGTTCATTCCCATGGTCATTCCCGTGGTCATTCCATTGTTCATTCCCATGGTCATTCCCGTGGTCACTCCATTGTTCATTCCCGTGGTCATTCCCGTGGTCACTCCCGTGGTCACTCCCGTGGTCACCCCACTGGTCACCCCACTGGTCACTCCCCCCCTGGCCGTACCCGTACCGCACCGTCCACGCCCTGATGTCCACCTCGGCCTCCAAACACCGCGGCCGCCGCCGCCGCCCCACGGCCGCCGCCACCACCCTGACGGCGCCGCCCGAGGCGGCTTCCAGAGGGTTCCGCATGCGCCGCAGCAGCGCCGGCGCG